TATCGCAAGTTAATGGGGACATGTGCAAGGGAAATGACGATTTGTATCGCATGTTAATGGGGACATGTGCAAGGGAAATGACGATTTGTATCGCAAGTTAATGGGGACATGTGCAAGGGAAATGACGATTTGTATCGCAAGTTAATGGGGACATGTACAAGGGAAAGAACGATTTGTATCGCGAGTTAATGGGGACATGTGCAAGGGAAATGACGATTTGTATCGCAAGTTAATGGGGACATGTACAAGGGAAATGACGATTTGTATCGCAAGTTAATGGGGACATGTACAAGGGAAATGACGATTTGTATCGCAAGTTAATGGGGACATGTTCAAGGGAAATGACGATTTGTATCGCAAGTTAATGGGGACATGTGCAAGGGAAAGGACGATTTGTATCGCAAGTTAATGGAGACATGTGCAAGGGAAATGACGATTTGTATCGCAAGTTAATGGAGATTTGCATAATAGCCAGATTTCTATTCCGTTATCACTAGACTGGTTAAATTTTTACTATTCATGAACATGTATTTTTTTTAATACTTGTATTTGTTTCATAATGCTTTTCGATGTGTTGAAATTGATCTTAAATTAAATGTTTTGACTTTTTAAAATATTTTGTTTTATCCTTTAATTTGTCATTTTATTTCACGCTTATGATTGCCTACCATTGTTTTTGAATATAGATAAGAGATCATCATATGCATGTGGCAAAAACTTTCTTATTTGTGGGTCTTAAATCCTCTTCAACTTGGTACTTTATTTGACGTTTTATTTTTTGTTCGAACGTAACTGATGAGCCTTTTGCAGACGAAATGCGCATCTGGCGTACACAGTTGTTGTAATCCGGGTACCTATGATCAATTTATTGACATTATTCTTAAACAAATATTTACATTTATTTCAAAATTCCAGCTGTCAGAAACATACCTACGTTCTTCAAAATAGTATACAAAAATATATCATTCTTATAATTCCATTCACAGCAGCACACACAATGGAAACTTTATGCCCCGAAAATAAAATGGTATATACTATCTTACCTTATAGTTCTAATCACAGCAACAAGGGTACACACAATGGAAACCTTATGCCATGAAAACAAAACAGTATATACTATTTTAACTTATAATTCTAATCACAGCAACAAGGGTACACACAATTGAAACCTTATGCCATGAAAATAAAATAGTATATACTATTTTAACTTTTAATTCTAATCACAGCAACAAGGGTACACAAGATGGAAACATTATGCCATGAAAATAAAATGGTATATACTATCTTACTTTTACATGTTGACATTTGGGACAAGACGCTTTCTACAATGGAATATATTTGTTTAATTTCCTCGTGGACGTTTCTTTAAATTTATATTTATAACTTTTACTGTCTCTGTCAGTTTTAATTTACGCATAAAGGAAACAAATAGGAGACAAACCGTCGTGACAGCATTATATATCATCTTGTTCGGAGAAACATTAGTCATTTCCTACAGTGTCAATTAGAAAATGTACCATTATATTACAATTAAAGCATTTGGGAAAACAAATATTGATTGCTTTAAAGTGCAATTTAACGAATTTTTAAAAGAAAATTTTGTTTCCCCACGTCCTTGCAGAAAAAGCATCATAATGGTTCAATTAAGAAAATTAATGAATGCAAACAGAGTTCTAATTTACGATGTTTGTCGTCTTGTATTTCAACGCTGAGCCATAATTCTTAATCTAAAACAATTCATTTTTTTAAAATTGATATTGCTTACTTTGATGAAGGGGTGTTTATACTGTTTCACAAATATAGAGTAATGTCTGTTCATTTGTGTTATTATGGAGTAGCTTTTCAATCTTTCTTTCTTTCGGTTTTGTATACGGTCTACTAAAGTCTGGTGTAAGTGACGTATAATTAACAATTAAACTTCTTTGTTTTTGTATGTATACAAAATAGTAAGTGTTGCTATGGTATCGCTGAAATAAGGAGGTACACACTGTATAAAGTTTTGAATGGTACACAGGAAAATTTCACTCACGTGAATTTCACGTGTATTAAGACCATATCGAGGGTGTTTATATTAAGGACATTTTTCAAATGAATCCCATCACGACCTCATACCCGTAAACAACGTTCAAAATCCTTCTGTTAAAATGTCTAGTAAAATGATTTTAAACCGAACTATCTTTTGTTCCTTTTGTTTTTGATAAATTCTTGTATTGACCTATACTAGAATTTATCAATATCTCTTCAATTACTTTCCAAGTAATTTAGTATTAGTTATTAAGCACGTCGTATGTTTTGTTGCTATATTGATATTACGGTTTTCGATTTTAGCACGTTTTTTTTTTTTCCAAACACTATTTGTTCAGTTAGATGCTATTTATAACTACTTTAGTTCGAACTTCACACGTGGCAGTTGCGTTTGACTCAAATCTTAATTGACTAGGATTGTCAGTATTCCTACCGAAGGTCAGTGGTTCTCTCCGGGAACTCCGGCTTCCTCCACTAATAAAACTCACCGCCACAAAATAGCACATTAGTGTTAAATGTGGCGTTAAACACCGATCAATCAATCAATCAATATAACTACTTTAAAGCATGTTTTACTGAACATCATCTATTAAGAAAAGCTGTAGCCTATCTACATTTTCACGTGAAAATGGCGCTTGTGAAATAGAGAATATGCTAACGGTAAACTTAAGCATTACATTTATTCAAGCTGCATACATCTCTAAAAAAAATTGGACAGAACTGTTCTACAAAATAATGGATATACCTAAAGTAATAGAGTGTGTTTGTATGTTTGACCGTGATGATGACGACTTTGTATGTAGAATTGTTCCTAGGTAGTAAAACTGCTTAGTGTGTGATACAGTAAATACGTTCGTATATCATTTTTATAATAAAGAAGACACATAATGCGATCTATATTTATATTGGGTATCAAAGTGATGACATAGAGACATTTTGTTATGTTTTCAGGCTGTAGACTATTCATTTGTTATATGTTGGTGTTTCTTAGGTGTTGTTTAGAAATTGCAAATATGTTTTATATAATGTTTTGAGATGTTATATTCGTTTTAAGTAAATGGAAAAATCTTCCAATATGGCGGAAATAAAGATAATCCATATATCCTGTTTACCGTGTATTTTATTATACGTCCGCTCCTAACAAAAATCAACGTAAAACTATATCTTTTAAAAAATAAAATGAAAACCAAAGTTATGGTCATAACATTAATAAACAGTTTTTATTACACATTTCTATTTATTGATTCTTCAAAATTAACGAAGTGCTCTTTTGCTAGTGTTGAAGAAAAACAAGATAATAAATCAGTTTAAATATGATAGGCCATTAGTTGCCTTCTATACCGTCAATTGTACAAGGCTAATAACACTTTCATTGACAACTCTTACTTGATGTGGCTCTTTTCTGGAGATTTATCCGTCCAGTGTTAGAAAAAATTGACAAGGTTAACTCGATATGTTTTATATTAAAAATAAAATGTAAAATGTTAGGAGCATATGAAAAAAATCTAATATACGATGCAATATGACTTCCTTTTACAATCCGGTCCGTACTTACTGCTGCTTCCCATCATGCATTGCGGTATATTTCCCATGTCGAGTATTTTTATAACTCCAGCTACCTTCCTTAATGCAGTATCATTTCTGCTATCATTAAATGATAAAACTATTGATTGAAATGAATTGATAAAACCTACATTATATCAATGAATTAAATGTTTTGAGCGTTTGTGAAAATTCTGTTAGTCTTGTCTGGTTCTTAGGCTTCTTGTAATTCATATGAGCCTCTGTCCGGTTCTTACGCTTCTTGTTATTTATATAAAGCCTCTGTCTGGTTCTTACGCTTCTTATAATTTATATTAGCCTCTGTCTGGTTCTTACGCTTCTTGTAATTTATATTAGCCTCTGTCTGTCTCTTGCGCTTCTTGTAATTTATATTAGCCTCTGTCTGTCTTTTACGCTTCTTGTTATTTATATTATATAGCCTCTGTCTGTCTCTTACGCTTCTTGTTATTTATATATATAAGCCTCTGTCTGGTTCTTACGCTTCTTGTAATTTATATTAGCCTCTGTCTGGTTCTTACGCTTCTTGTAATTTATATTAGCCCCTGTCTGTCTCTTACGCCTCTTGTTATTTATATTAGCCTCTGTCTGGTTCTTACGCTTCTTGATATTTATATAAGCCTCTGTCTAGTTCTTACGCTTCTTTTTATTTATATTAGCCACTGTCTGGTTCTTACGCTTCTTGTAATTTATATTAGCCTCTGTCTGGTTCTTACGCTTCTTGTAATTTATATTAGCCTCTGTCTAGTTCTTACGCTTCTTGTTATTTATATTAGCCTCTGTCTAGTTCTTACGCTTCTTGTTATTTATATAAGCCTCTGTCTAGTTCTTACGCTTCTTGTTATTTATATAAGCCTCTGGATGGTTCTTACGCTTCTTGTAATTTATATTAGCCTCTGTCTAGTTCTTACGCTTCTTGTTATTTATATTAGCCTCTGTCTAGTTCTTACGCTTCTTGTTATTTATATTAGCCTCTGTCTAGTTCTTACGCTTCTTGTAATTTATATTAGCCTCTGTCTGGTTCTTACGCTTCTTGTTATTTATATAAGCCTCTGGATGGTTCTTACGCTTCTTGTTATTTATATAAGCCTCTGTCTGGTTCTTACTTATATTAGCCTCTGTCTAGTTCTTACGCTTCTTGTTATTTATATAAGCCTCTGTCTGTCTCTTACGCTTCTTGTAATTTATATTAGCCTCTGTCTGTGTCTGACGCGTCTTGTTATTTATATTAGCCTCTACGTGTTTCTGTTTAGGATGTCTATTTGTTTTTAAGGAGTAGTCGAGTCGACCTTTACCTTTTCACAAGTAAACAGGTTTCGCATTGTCATGTTGTGGAAATAATTGTCTTTATTTAATATCAAAATGTTTATGATTTTAAACTGTGTAAAATTTTATAACATCTTTTTTATTTTCAGATACATTAAATAATGTGCCTGACGTTTTACAGTTTATTCAATCGATCCCTATGGTTATTACCTGTTGTAACTGTCAGCCTCGTTTTGATGACTTTCAGTACCACGTTAGTATCATTATATTACTATATATTATTTTCGTGACTTTGTGAATTCTCAAATATTGAGGGTTTTTTTTACAAGCTGAAAGTTGAAAAGCGACACAAATATAATTCCTTAATTACGTTTACACTTTAATAGATGGCATTTTAAACTGATAAGAACACAATAAAAATTCTTACAAACAAAATTCAATGTCAAGAAAAAATACTTCAAACCATTAGCATGGGAACAATATGTGATATAATTGTTTTATTCCTGACTTGGTAAAGACATGAATGTAAATAAGATCGACCGTGTATACCCAAGATGTCTATTATAATTAACAATGTATCTTAGAGTTAACGTTCCAAATTAAACTGTACAATACACATTCGTTACCCTATAAACCAATGGTCAAGAAAACACAATTTTTAGTTTGACCTTTATTAAGCTTTCAGTGGTATTTTAAAGCACAGTGTAAGAGGATCTAATTTAGTGTAAGAGGATCCTATCTGATTTTGAGAAAATTATTTTTTATAAAGTCATCTTATCAAATGTGCTAAAAGGCTGGTGTCTGTTACATGAAATATCAGTTTTAGATATAACTTAAGGTTCAATAAATGACTAGAGATTATAATGGCACATTACAGCAACAAAAAAATAAAACATGTGTTATGTATTATGGGCTGTTTTCTGCTCTTTTGTAGGGTTGTTGTCTCTTTGACACATTCCCCGTTTCCATTCTCAATTTTAATTTTATTATGTGAAATATGCATGGTCATATTGGTTGATTCAATGATGATTGGAATCTATTAAAATTGTAAACAAGTATACACAAATACCTTTTTTTCTGAGTAAATTCGCTTTTTATAGTTTTTAACAATATAGATAACTAATACCATTGCTTTTTTTCGAGTGTACAGACTGTGTGCTGGAAGAAATAGTATTTTTTCTCTCTCTTGTAATTAAAAGATATACGCATATGATACATGATACATAGCATTTTATTGAAGTTTTGAATGTTTTTTTTTCTCCAAATGGTAACTTGATTATATTACAGATGTATAAACATAATTATACACACTTGATGTTTATTTTGCAGATATGGTATAGCTGTCGGCCTCAATCATACACAAGCGGTATTTCCTTATGTAACGTAAGATATCTAGATGTATTCTTATTTTATCAATCTTACTGTATTAGTTAACAACTTCTTTCGAATTCTATCCTGGAACAACTGGTTTAACCCACGGTAATTGGTGAGGTGCGTTTGGCTTAATGTTTAGTTTTCTTTGTGGTATTTGTGGAGTGTTGTTAGTTTTATTTTTTTTCTATTTGTTCGTTTTGTTGTCTGTTTTTTTTTTTCGATTTATAGTTTTTGTTATTTATATGCAAAACTCCAATAATGAATCATCTGACAGCTGAACTGGAATAAAAGTAAATATTGACTTTCCCTGCATTTTTGCCATGTCAGATTTCTCCTATCTACTAACTGAAAATAAGTTATACACTTTATAAAATTGGTGCATCCGAGCACTTTTCTTGCTTTACCTTCATTAGAAACGCTCAAACATAAAAAAAAGCCAAAGATGTATGTTTAGTTTAATACTTGATGACCTATATGGACAAAAGGTACCTAAAAAGAAGTACCAAATCCATCTATGGTCAACTAAGGAAGGTTGAATCTTAGTTTCCTAATAATTTCTTAAGCTATCAGCGATGAATTTAAAAACAAAATGTATTTTAAAATCATAGCTATTCAGCAGTATTGAATGCTGAGCTGATGGTACTACCCTCGGGAACCAGCAGTATTAAATGCTGAGCTGATGGTACTACCCTCGGGGACCAGCAGTATTAAATACTGAGCTGATGGTACTACCCTCGGGGACTAGCAGTCCATCAGCAGTATTAAAAGTTGAGCTGATGGTACTACCCTCGGGGACTAGCAGTCCATCAGCAGTATTAAAAGTTGAGCTGATGGTACTACCCTCGGGGACTAGCAGTCCATCAGCAGCGGCATCGACCTAGAGATAGAAAAAAAATAACACTTATAAATTTAGTGGTTCCGAAGGGCTTTTTGGATTACATTCATCAGATTTACCTTCATTGGTAATGTTTTCAAGATAAGAAACAAATAATTGCATTTTGTCGCTTTGTTTTTAATTTAAGTATTTTAGTAAGTGAAGCTTTGTTGGTTCAACGACTGAAATATATTAATTCATATACAAAAATGTAAAGAAAGTTAACAGCTTGTTAATGAGGGTCAACTACCTCAATAAACAGTCAGCTGGCAGTTTCGACCATTTGACTTATCTGTATATATCTTTTCCCATTTGAATGGTTTTACATTAGTAATTTTTGGAGCCCTTTATAGCTTGCTGTTCGGTGTGAGCCAAGGCTCCGTGTTGAAGACCGTACATTGACTTATAATGGTTTACATTTATAAATTTTGACTTGGATGGAGAGTTGTCTAATTGGTACTCATACCACATCTTCTTATATCTATATATGATATATTTTATTGGTGATTACATTTGCTGCTAAATACTATAATTTTCAAGATAATGACAGAAACGTTGAAATAGGAAAAATGAGTCATTTATGGGCATTGGCTCGGTAAAATGAAAGAAAATACCCAGGTGTATTGCTTATTACTTATGCTGTTTATCTATGATCATAGTTTTCAAGATAATAGACAAAACGCAAAAAGCGTCTTCTTTTAATTTTTGTATTGATAACACAAATTGACATTCTGAATATTTTTACCCATCACAATTTCTCTTTTTGTTTTATAGTATACCGTTGTCCGTCTGTCCGTCCGTCCATCGTCAACATGTCGGACATTAACTCAAAAACGCATTAACCAATTTGCATAAAACTTTGGTGAATTGTTTATATCTATTGACGTGAGCTCCCTTTCGTTTTTTTATAAATTTGAGATTTTACGTTTCCGAGTTATGAGGTTTTATTCATTAAAAAAAGGGGGATTTTCCAGTTTTCGGACAATAACTCCAAAATGCTTTCACCAATTTTGGTAAATCGTTTATATCTGTTGACATGTGCTCCCTTTCCATTTTCATAAGTTTTAGATTTTACGTTTCTGAGTTATGGGGTTTTATTCATTAATAAAAGGGACAGTTTACAGTTTTCGGATAATAATCCATATGCTGAGCCTGACTCAGCTAGCTTAACCAGGTGACTGTATCGCAATCTCGGCAAATATATAAAGAACACAACTTGTTTCGAAAATTGTAATTATAATATTCCACCAGAAAGGTTTACAAGTAGTCAGTAGATTGTTTGTGGTAAACTGCAATAAAACAAAAAGAAATACTTACAATGTGTATGAAAGAACATATTAAAGTTCATATGCAAATATTTAAAACAATGAAATGAAAACGAAAGTAGAATTTACAGTTCCAATCTCGGTTATAAATAACTTACAGTTCGTATGCATTTATTAAATCACTTATCCAAATTAACGGACTTAAACAGATTAAATTATCACAGTTTATAAATGAATAAAACGTACTTGACAGTGATATGTCTCGATTTCCTCAGAAAATTAAATGTCGTCCATGTTACATGTGTTGAAATATTGAAGCAGACGGTGTCACAGAAATTAAAGGCAGTCAATACGTACGGTGATGTAAGAAATCGGTCCAGTGCGATTTGTTCCGGATGATTATGAAAACATATAGTAAACATTGAATGTGAAACAGAATAATCCAAAATGCGTTTAGCAGTTCTCATGAAACTTTGGTGAATTGTTTATATCTATTGATGTAAGCTCCCTTTCGAATTTTAGATTTTAGATTTTACGTTTCCGAGTTATGGTGTTTTATTCATTTAAAAAGTGGGGATTTTCCAGTTTTCGGACAATACCTCAAAAATGCTTTCAGCAGTTCTCATGAAACTTTGGTGAATTGTTTAAATCTATTGACAAAAGCTTTCTTTCGATTTTCATAAATTTTTTATATGACATTGAGAAGTGATTAAACTTTATTCTTTGAAAATGTGAAGGGCGTATCATGCGCTCATGGCGCAGCTGTGTATTTTTGTTTGTTTTAGTTGATAGACAAATACATGTCGGGTGGTTGGTGGGAAAAAAAAACAATATGAATTTATGGATTGGTTAACAGACACAAATCTAAACGTAGTAAACATTGCGTTTTATAATATATAAATAACACATAGCTGAGAGGGTGATAGAGCTGATTGTTACCCCGAGGAAACATTGTCAACTGAGGCGAAGCCAATGTTGACAATGTCTTTTCGAGGGGTAACAATCTGCTCTATCACCCTATCAGATATGTGTTATTTAATTTATTATACTGAATGTTCTGTTATTACTGTCGATTAAATTTCAAATTCAAAGTAATAAACTATGACGTCTTGTACATAACAACCATCCGTATTTAATAAAGCGCACACTTGATCAAGCGTCTCCATTAAGGGTAATAGAGTAAATTAACACCCTCGAATTAGCCAATCAAAATATGGCATTTTAACGTGAAGTATAATAGTATTCGTTGCTATAAACAAAATGATAGTGCTAGCACATTGCAAAACTGCTGCAATGGAAATTGACAAAATAATATAAACAGGCGTGAAGTTGTTGAGCTGAACCGGATTAATTTAATTAAGTTTAAGTATTATAATAAGGTTGAACATAATTATGATTAGAATTGTCAGAATTTGAGACAAAAAGCGATTCTTTGAAGGTTTAAATGTTCATGTATATTTACTAATTCTGAGCCTTAGAACAATATGACAGTTCTAATATTTTAGAGTCAAATGGGTAAAATAAAGGTATTTCTATTCTGTTTTTCAGCAAAACGGGTTCAGCTGTGCCTGAGAGAGGAATATTTACAATAGGTATAATCATAGCCGCCATCTTGTGTAAGTTTAAACAGGAGACAAGTACTTGGTTTGGTTTTTGGTATCGAAATTAATCATCATGTTCAGATAAAAAATCTATAATGGTTCTTTTTATACCTGTCCGTTAGATGAGTCAAATTAATTGAGTTCTAGGCACATTAGTGTTTGCTGTACATTAGAATTGTCTTATGTTGTCTTATAATTTATGTCTCGAAATACCTTTATTAATTCAAGAAAAGGAGAGGCGAAAGATACCAAAGGGACATTCAAACTCAAAGGTCGAAAATAAACTGACAACGCCATGACTAAAAAAGAAAAAGACAAACAACAGTACACAAAACACAACATAGAAAACTAAAGACAGAGCAACAAGAACCCCACCAAAAACTGTGGGTGATCTCAGGTGCTCCGGGAGTGTCAGCAGATCCTGCTCCACATGTGGCATCGTGTTGTAAGTACAAATCCGGTGATAAGTCATATTCGGTAGTCACATTCGGGGAAAAGGATGCGGGATTGTAGTTACTACAATTTGAACATATCCGTTGTCATCGGTGAAACGGATATTCCATAATAGTCAACCAACTCGTGATGGCGTCCGTACAATTTACGAAGGGGTGATTTTAACTTCACTACTGGGAACTCTTGGTTCCTTGTGAGCAGCAACCCTCTATCAAGAAAATCATGATAGGAAATACAAGCCCTGGAATATCGTATCAACTGGGATATATATACTCCGTTTGCAGGCGCTGCTGGAATATTGCTGCATAGTAATGGAAAGTTCACAATTGGGTAGCAGTTATCTAAAATAAAGAATTATTTATCATGCCTCAATTCTTTATCATTACTTACTCCCAATGCTCACCAAAGCCAAATGTTAAAGGATACAATACAAAGCAAATATAAAGCTGGTAGCAAATTCCGAGTGATAGATTTCCTATAAAGCCTTTGTTGATGGTTCTACCTGTCATATTTATCTCTCATGTTAATACGACATGAAAGAGATTAAGCAGCAGCTGTGTAATCAACTAACATGAATTTCCTTAAGTGGAAGTTTTTGTAGCCTTACTCTTCGTACATTTTAAGCTTTTTGAGATTATTTCTCATTCATCAACGTTTGAAATTACTTTGATTATATTTTATGTCATTTTTCAGTTTGCATGAATATAGAGATTAGATACGAGTATGTAAGGTTGAATTTTAGCCAGATGTCCTTGACCCCTGCAGAGAAAGCAAGATGGATGACGACTAATACCATGACATTGTATCTTAGTCACATTTCTGTCTTTGGACTCTTTATGTTAGCTAGTTTTCAGGTATTTATCTATTGATATATAACTATCATGGCTATTGTTGGAATGTTACGAATGGTATATTGTATATAATCCATCGTATTCAGTTATGTATAGAATACCATCAGCTATACTTAGGAAAGAACAAAATCGACCGTTAGCAGTATTATAATTATCACGTGACATCTATCATAAAATTTGAAAAATCTGACGTAAAAAGTCTTCTTCTGAGTGGACAAGCTGGAAAGTCAAACGTCTTTTCTGGTGCATTTATCCATCATTCCACTTTTCACGATTAACTTTTTTTCACCATTTTAAGTTTTGTGCAGAGATAATGCCCGTATGACTTAAATCCTTTTATTAGCTGTTAAAGATCAAGTTGAAGTTTTGTTCTGGTTTTTTTTCTTGGAGCCCCTTTGGATTATTTCGACAAAAGAAATGTATGTTCAATTTACTTATGACGGATACATGTAGACATTTGCCTATCTAGTTATGATGGATATATGTAGACATTCACCAATCTGCTAGGGTGTGAAGCTTAAGATTGAAGTTTTCTTGGTTTACCACGAGCAGCACGACGGTTCTGACTAGTGAATCAGAAATAAACCCCAATGTATTTTGTAGAATTTTATTCGTCTCTCTGATTATTTTCTTTTACCATGATGTTGTTTAATTTTCTTCGCATTCTGGTATTTTTACTGCCCACTGGCTAATTTTCATCTTTTTATGTAATGATGGTGACATTTTCGGATGTAAGCTGTACAAGGAAGGAGCTCGGATGGAGAAAGCAATTATCCATTGCTGAAGATCATATTTTTACCTCTAGATATCTTAGTTTTTGTGTCGTTTGATTGCTGTTTTGTTGACGTATACTCTATATTTACGATAAAAAAAAAATGGATTATTACCCGTACCGTTTTGTTCTTACACGAATATAAAACTTCCACCACAAACTTTGATTTTACTTCGTTTTGTTCTGGTAAAAGTTAGTAGTTCAGAGTTACAAATTATCTATTTTGCCAGTGAAATGGGTAGAGGTGGGGTATGTTTTGATTGTCAACTAATCAGGCTGATAAGTTAACAACAAAACATATGAGATCAAAACATACTGACCTCCTATTTTCTTATATGTTTGGTTGTCAACTCATCAGGCTGAATCATAGGACCAAGAGACTTTACTTAGGTAACCTCTGTACTCTGAATAACAACTGAGCATAGGACCAAGTGACTGTACTTAGGTAACCCCACTACTCTGAATAACAACTGATCATAGGACCAAGTGACTTTACTTAGGTAACCTCTGTACTCTGAATAACAACTGAGCATAGGACCAAGTGACTTTACTTAGGTAACCTCTGTACTCTGAATAACAACTGAGCATAGGACCAAGTGACTTTATCTCGGTAACCCCACTACTCTGAATAACAACTGAACATAGGATCAAGTACTTTACTTAGGTAAACACACTACTCTGAATAACAACTCAGCATAGAACAAAGTGAATTTACTAAGGTAACCACTGTACTCTGAATAACAACTGAACATAGGACCAAGTTACTTTACTTAGGTAACCTCGTTACTCTGAATAACAACTGAACATAGAAACAAGTGACTTTACTTAGGTAACCCGACTACTCTGAATAACAACTGAGCATAGAACAGAGTGACTTTACTAAGGTAACCACTGTACTCTGAATAACAACTGAACATAGGACCAAGTAACTTTACTTAGGTAACCTCAGTACTCTGAATAACAACTGAGCATAGAACAGAGTGACTTTACTAAGGCAACCACTGATTCTGAATAATAACTGAACATAGGACCAAGTGACTTTACTTAGGTAACCTCAGTACTCTAAGAACAATTGACATTATTATTTTATCAATCTAACTGACACCCTCTGCACAATCATCTAGTTGTCAATTCCTTTACTGTAAAACATTGTAATGATATTTACCTCAGAATTACCTTTCATTACAATATCACTAATGACATATGGATTGTCGTTCTATGCATGAAATAAATCCGAGCGATGTACAACCGTCAATCACTCTTACCAATTATAGCCAGTTAATTAGTTTACGTTTATTCTTGACGGTGAAAGAAATAAATCGGATAATAGTCGCTCTGTCTAGGAATAAGATGGAGTGTTACAATAAGCTAAGGAAATCTCCTGTTATTGAATTTCACCATGGTCTCAAGTATTTTTTAATGTCAAAGGTTAGATTTTCTGATATTGTACGATTGAAACTGATATAAATTTCAGACTTGCACGAATCTGTTGAATGAAAACACGAATAAAATTAAAGTTTTAGGATTATAAGGCAATATCAGTTCATTTAAAGTACAACATTTGGTTACTGATAACCTGTCTAGAGAAAGTTCTCGGTTACTGATAACCTGTCTAGAGAAAGTTCTTGGTTACTAATAACCTGTCTAGAGAAAGTAATTGGTTACTGGTAACCTATTTAGAGTAAGTAATCGGTTACCGATAACCTGACCAGAGAATGTTTTCGGTTACCGATAACTTGTCCAGAGAATGTTTTCGGTTACTGATAACCTGTCTAGAGAAAGTTCCAATCTAATTAAGATATATCACTATTTCGTTATCTCCATATGGAGGTATTAAAATCAGAGTTCTATATTTTGATTATTGGAAAAAGATCTCTGTTACTGATAACCCGTCTAGAGAAAGTTCTCGGTTACTGATAACCAGTCTAGAGAAAGTTCTCGGTTACTGATAACCCGTCTAGAGAAATTTCTCGGTTACTAATAACCTGTATAGGGAAAGTTCTCGGTTACTGATAACCTGTATAGGGAAAGTTCTCGGTTACTGATAACCTATTTAGAGTAAGTTATCGGTCACCGATAACCTGTCTAGAGAAAGTTATCGGTTAATGACAACCTGTCCAGAGAAAATTCATATTCTGCCCTTCACGATAAAAATTGATAAGTTTATGCAGATTCTGTATCAAAATTCTTCCATTCATAATACGCGTAATATAACTTTTTCTAGCGTTTGGATCCATAAGTGCCTATCTGAAATGGTCATTAACTTTTCATATATTATAGTAGTATATACTACCTGTACAAATGGGAAAAAAAGATATCTTTGTAAACATATATTTATCAATTTTTGATTCAGCCATGCTGGATCTATGCGATCACTCTGGTTTTGGAGATGGTGCAGAATACTAAGTTGAAGACATATCATGAAACTAATTATGTGTTTTTATGACTTGCAGAATCTTTATACACCATTTTAAGCATCAACTGCCAACTTTTGACATGTTATTTGCCCTTAAATTAAGAAAAGATTGGTCGAATAACCCCTTTATTTTAGATATACACTTGCATATAGTTCCTTTATAAATCAAAATTTATAATGATTTACTATTTATGAATTAATTTGAAAAGTATTTGTACATCAATTGAATCAGTTGATTAGAATTTTGAAAGTATTAGATTAGTATCTTATACTTGTGTAAGTGATTGTTCAATGAAATTTGGGTCAACATGTGTATCAATATATCTAAGTTGATTCCCACACTTTTTTGAAATGGTATTACTCCAATTCTTTCCATAGGCAAGTAAGAGTCATTATGATTATCAACTGTCATGATTTTCAAATAATGACACTCAAAGGTATAAGTGTTAATTGGAAGCAACCCCAGTCTTAATTCACCAAATTTAATATCTCATGACCTGTTACATAATTAAATAGACACAATTTATTACACACCTAACTGAATACACACATTATTGACCTCAATAGTATACCTACAAATGTATTATTTATTTTGATCTACACAACATTAAAATATTCTGTTAATTTTGCTAGCTAGCTGAATGATTAATCAGATGTGGGTTATTTTCAATGAAAAGATAAAAAATGAAAAAAATATGTATACAAAATGCAAGCAAATTTTATTTCCTTGTAAAAACAGTGTCATTATCATCTGTAACATAAGTCAATAATCAAGTTCTAATTAATTAGTTACAATTATAAGAAATTTGGTTGAAACAATAAACAAAATTGCATAACTCTTACCTGAGCATTTTCTGCCATAAAATTTATTTGTTTGTTCTACATTTATATCCCATCATATTGCTATTTAACAGTAATTGGAATTATCTCAGCATTAGGTATTTGTTCATTTAATTTAAATACAGGAAATGTATTTTTTCTTAATGAAGAATGAACATCAATTTAGATAAAAAATAGTTATTATTTTTTTTATTTTTGTTGTTGAGAAATTGGATTTTTAATGCCTCTTTCTGGAAATCATTAAGCCAGTTATTATTAATGGCATATAAAAAGATATGTTACTTGTTTGACGATTTCCCTTTCCATTCTTGTCAATACCATTAAATTGCAAATATTTATAAAAAAAAAATCTGACAGAGTCTAAAATTGAAATATCAATATTTATATCAATATTTGCATCAATATTGCGAAATTCCCTACCTTTGGACAATAGCATAGAAATTTTACAGTAAGATTGGAAATGAAAAGAGAAAAAAATATTGAAAAAAGTATGATCAGAAAGAATATCAGACTAGCTATGAATATGGCTGGATCACAACATCGACGATGCTTTGATTATATAGACATTATCATTCGGGTATTGAATTTAATGCAGTTATTATAATAATAACGTGTATCAATACCTAAACATTTAACATTATATCAAGCAAACAAAAGAGACCTAAATGTTGATAAATAATCTTGTTTTGTAGATAGATACAATGAATGTCCCTCATCATCTTGGTGCCTTCCTGACGTTTGTGTTCGGCCCTGTTTGCTCTTGGTTACATTCAGCCATTACATGGAAAACCTATAAAGAAGAGAGGAAAACAGAGTTTCTCATCACATTTCTATGTCAGATAGCAATGAGTTTTGTATCGACATGTTTGTTAATTATTTGTATCCTTTTAAGTAACAATTAAAAAAGGCAACTAACATAGGAAAATGTTATTTGATTTACAAATATATTCTTTGATAAATATTACATATAACGGCAAGGAACTCTTTCCAATAACACGGTAAACGATAATGAGATGCATTGTCGATCTCAGAACAGAGGCCATTTAAATATTCATACCACAAAAAAATATTTGCAAATACTTAGAAAAAAGACACTACTTATCTACATAGAAAACTCGATACTGAGCAACACGAGCCCCACAAAAAACCGGGGGATCTCCGTTGCTCCAGAAGGATACCCGACGTGTTGCTCATGGCAGGCCACGTGACTTGGAATACTGTGCCTATTTATTTTTAAACATTCCCTTAATAAACAAATGAAATTCGTGATTACTATTGTTGAAAGAATGAGATGAACGGCTCTGTCAAGTGCTATTACTCTTGTTTCGTTTTTCATGTACATTTGTACATGACGATGCGTTTTTATTTGGTGCTTTTAGTGCTATTTAATTGCATTTAAATACGTATTTCTCATGTTTTATTTGTAAATTTTTGGTTTGATTTTCAGATTCCCGAAAGTCAGCTTTGCATACTTGGGAAAAGAATGAAAAAGTCATATATATAAGTTAACTAGCATTTTTCGTTATACAAAAGAAAAGGGCATAGTTTTGCAAATTGCTGCTACCTCAGCTTTATATAATTGTCTGTCTGAATACATGGTTAAAAAAATTAGAAAAGTATAATAGAGTACAGATAGGCTTTCGAGGCATCTATCATATGTTTATAATTAAATGTGTCAGTTTACGATTTTGAAGTAAACATTGATGATAATATATATTTGAGCTGTGAAAATTTATGTATGTTGTTTTATTTATGTTAACAGATGTTTGATATTTTGTATTTTAATGATGAAATATATAAGACATGTGTTTAAATACGTCATTTCGACGCAAGTAACAGAAAGAAAAAAAATCGACAGATAGTATGTTTCTTTAGATTATTAAATATTTTAGCAAAAACATTTGTAGTTACATAAAAGGAATCTGTCTAAAGTGTTAAATGTGATAATTATCTTTGTTTTGTCTAGGTACCACATGCAAAGTATGATAATTGTTTACATGTCATGCATGGTTTTTTTATATCAACATATATTGTTAAATTGAGAATTCCTTCACACTTTACAGTTTCCGGTTCATTTGGTTCATATAAACACCAACGATTATTACAAGGGAGTACAAAAACGGTAGGTTTATCAAATTGTGTGGAATAACACATATGATTTATTTCTAAGTAAGAATAGAATTTAAGATTTAATAAAAATAAGACGAAATTTTTGGACAGTCAAACCTCTTAGGACTCATATTATAACTCAAAACTGTAAGAAGTAATAAAAAAAAACTCATAGCAACCACGATAGCAAAATAATAACACAGGAGGATAAACAGTCCATTATTGAATACGGAGACAACACCTCCGCTCCCCCTACAAATATAACAGGATTGAACCCTGGAGGTTAAACAGATCAAGTTGCGCACTACGTAAATTGTTCGGTAATATCAGGAATGGCGACAAGGGGTCGAGATTTAATTTTCAGCTAAATCAAATTAGGGAACATAACGCACATATTCCTTTAGTCAACCAAGTCACAATCAGAAAAAATAAGACTTAATAAAACCAGGAAAACACCTGTGACAGCCAAACATCATATAATTCAGTACAACTGATATCTGAAAGAAGAAAGTCAGAATTTAGCAAAGGTAAAACACAGGAGAGAAACTCTATTTCAGAACAAATTCTTTTCTAAGTGTAAAGACAAGAACTGTGAAAAATCACTGAATGCAATAAGTACAAGGGCTCTTAAAACCCTTTTATTAAATCAGCTCAGATAGCGTGATAGACAAATATCTTTCAGTAAGTTAAATAAAAACAGCCTACAATTTTACCGAAATATTAAATTACATGTTTTATCGGTACACATTTCGCCACCAATCTTGTTAATGTAAGGACATATTACGCATTGGAAGCTTTTACTTTTTATTTACATTCTTCGTGATTTTTTTCTGTTATTTTCAGTCATAATTAAGAGATGCAGTTTGGTTTTTTTTGCAGGACACATTACGAGATGTATTTTGTTCTTTTCCTTTGTTCTTTTCCATGACACATTACGAGATGTATCTTGTTCTTTTCCTTTGTTCTTTTTCAGGACACATTACGAGATGTACTTTGTTCTTTTCCAGGACACATTACGAGATGTATTTTGTTCTTTTCCAGGTCACATTACGAGATGTATTTTGTTCTTTTTCTTGAACACAAAAAATGACATTGCGAGATGTATTTTGTTCTATCATAGGAAACTTTACGAGGTGTATTTTTCTTATTTTCCAGGACACATTACGAGATGTGCTTTGTTCTATTCCAGGAAACTTTACGTGATGTATTTTATTCTATTCCACTAAACATTACGAGATGTAGTTTGTTCTAATCTAGGACACATTACGAGATTTTTGGTTATTTTCCAGGACACATTACGAGATGTATTTAGTTATTTTCCAGGACACATTACGAGATTTGTTTTGTTATTTTCCAGGACACATTACGAGATTTGTTTTGTTATTTTCCAGGACACATTACGATATTTGTTTTGTTATTTTCCAGGACACATTACGAGATGTATTTTGTTCTTTTCCAGGACACATTACGAGATGTATTTTGTTCTTTTCCAGGACACATTACGAGATGTATTTTGTTCTTTTCCTTTGTTCTTTTCCAGGACACATTACGAGATGTATTTTGTTCTTTTCCAGGTAACATTACGAGATGTATTTTGTTCTTTTTCTTGAATACAAAAAATGACATTGCGAGATGTATTTTGTTCTATCATAGGAAACTTTACGAGATGTATTTTTCTTATTTTCCAGGACACATTACGAGATGTGTTTTGCTCTATTCCAGGAAACTTTACGTGATGTATTTTGTTCTATTCCACTAAACATTACGAGATGTAGTTTTTTTATGTTATTTTCCAGGACACATTACGAGATTTTTTTATGTTATTTTCCAGGACACATTACGAGATGTATTTAGTTATTTTCCAGGACACATTACGAGATTTGTTTTGTTATTTTCCAGGACACATTACGAGATGTATTTTGTTCTATTCCAGGACACATTGCAAGATGTAGTTTTCTTATTTTCCAGGACACATTACGAGATGTATTTTGTTCTATTCCAGGAAATTTTACGTGATGTATTTTGTTCTATTCCACTAAACATTACGAGATGTATTTTGTTCTATTCTAGGACACATTACGATTTTTTTTGTTATTTTCCAGGACGCATTTCGAGATATATTTAGTTATTTTCCAGGACACATTACGAGATTTTTTTGGTTATTTTCCAGGACACAGTAAGATATCTATTTTGTTATATTCCAGGACACATTACGAGGTGTTGTTTTGTTCTTTTCCAGGACACATTACGAGATGTATTTTTGACGTCAACAATATCAGAATGGTTATTAGCTATTTCAATAATATTATTTTTACTGACATTCATACCTGGATTTAAAAAGATGGAATTTGATGGAATTGTAACGAAATGGAAAGCTCCTGGCAGTGAAAAATCAGTAAGTATCTATAATACTGGTAACTTTTCAAATCAGATTTAGACGGTCTTCATTTTCAATTCGCAATCTGCCAATAAAAAAGATTGTCGATAAAAAACGCAACCGTTTCTGTTCATTTGAAAATTGATAAATGAAAAGTACTAAAATGATAAAAACATTAAAAAAAACACCAACAACAACAATACTTAACAAACAAAAAACCCGGAAAATGTAAAGTAAAGTGATAAGTGACCATCTTACCATCTTCCTCCTATTGTAGATTTGTTCCTATACTGTAAGGAATCGCAGCATATAGCTGTGCGTAGTAAGGATCAAACGAATCACCAATTGATGCTTATTTGTTTTACAAAGTCAGCAGATTTCTAAACAGTATTTTGTCTTTAAAAAAATCGGACTTTTTAAATATACCATTTATAGTTATCCACCTCTAAATTAGTACTATATCCAAGCCTATGCAGCTTCGTATCATTTTCCATTAGTTAGTTGCAGTCTTACTACTTTCCTTTATTGCAATTGTCTGATGTTTTTTTTTTCTACGAAATGTCATTTCTAAATAAGTGCGATATCCAAGCATATGCAGTGACGTATCAATTCACATTAATTGGTCGCAGTCTTACTACTTACGGAAATAAAACGAGAAAGGATTTATCATCCACAAAGAAGCTACTTGAACACCTCATAGTTTTAAGTGAGGACACTCCTAATGGTTTGTCTTTACTTATATCAAATTGCATTATGTTGTTAAAACAATTAGTTATGATGTCATATCTTTAATTGCGGAGTTAATCTAAATTTATTCTAGTTTTTTTTCACAATGAAATCATAATCAGACACAATGTAGACCTTGATATGAGGTATAGAAACTTGTCATCTGTATGAGTGTGTATCATTGACGTACACACATCTCTGTTTTATTCAAAAGATGTGTTACAAATAATATGAGTTGAGGAGTAAACATCAATACAATTAAATCTGAACAAAACACATTACTAGTAACTAAGATACTAAGATGTGGTATGATTGATAATGAGACAACTCTCTACTAGAGACTAAATGACACATAAGTTAACAACTATAGGTCACTGTACAGCCTTCAACAATGAGCAAAGCCCATACTTTAATACAGCCGCTAAATATAGTCTTGACAAATGGTGAATGAATTAAGATAAAAGTCAACAAATATAAATGGCCAAATAAAATATCAGATGTCAACAAAACACAGACAATCCCAAGCCCCAAAAGAAGAAAAAGGCAAACAGACAAACAAAACTCCACATACACTACTAGAAAACTGTAAATTCAGCAACACAAACCCAGCCATATGAAAGGCAACAGAGATGACAAAACAACTAACATTATTCCGGATAGGGGACAGTTATTTATTTCAATATGTGGAAGCGTTTCACTAGATTTGTGAGAACTAAATTATCTCCTTTTTATCTCTAATAGTGGGAGGACAAACGATACAATACAAGACACACTTTTTATGACTAAAACTATCTTCAATGATACCTTATTTAATCCAGCTCGAACTTCATTAAAGGAAGCTAGATGTATAATTATACTTAATCGCCTGTTTTCGCTTCATTTCAGGTGTTATGCGGAAGAATACTAGGTTGTTGTAATGTCTGAACTGTTTTAGAAAATCCTTATCTATATATGTGAGACTGTTTGTGTTAAATAAAACATTTATATTGTCAAAATGTTTCAGCCAACTTTTTTAATCAAATATTGAGGTGAACCACTAATTCATTTCCCATGACTTTATATGGTAAATTCTTCAGTTAAAAGCAGTTATGGCTCTTTTATTGAAGTTCAAATAAAGTGAAAGTCATGTTATGTCAGTAATTATACGTTACTTTAGCTTTTGCTGAAACAAAATCAACATTTCTTTAATTGCATTTAAGAGCGTTCCCTGATACTTCGGAAGTATCAAAAACAGGTACTTCCGTTCTGAGAAAACAGGTAAACTATGCCTTCCTATTTAAATTTCACGCATCTATTTAATAATTCAAAATAATAAGTAAAACAAAACCTAAAATGATCACCCAAAGTCCTTCAGCTTTCGTTTGACACCAAAATAACCAATATATTTTATATTTCGAAAGTTATAAAATACTAAGGAGATGTGGTACGATTGCCAATGAGACAACTATCCGTCAAATTCAAATGAAGTGGATGTAAGCAATAAATGGCAACCGTACGACCTAAACAATGAGAAAAACCCATACCGTATAGTCGGCTATAGAAGCCCCGATATGAAAAATATGAAACAATTCAAAAGAGAAAACTAACGGCCTAACAACAAAACAATTTACGAAAACCAAATATGACAAACATGATCCAACGACAACCACTGAAATACAGGCGCCTGACTTGGGACAGGCACATTTAGAATGTGGCGGGGTAAAACTAGTAAGATGGCTACAAACCCTTTCCCTAACCTTGGACAATGCTGCAACAGCACAACAAAAGAACACGCTATACAAAACAATGAACGAAAACGAAATATGATAAACAGCAACAAAAAATAACCACCGCTCAATTACAGGCTCCTGACTTGGGACAGGCACACACATAATGTGGAGGGGTTAAACTAGTTTGCTGGCGTCAAACCCTCCCCCTAACCTGTGGCAGTGGTGTAACAGAACAACATAAGAAAAAACTATACAAATCAGTTGAAAAGGGCTTAACTCATCAGATCGATTTAAAGCAGAAAACATCTAACGAAAACACAGACCGGACGTGGCAGGGTATTTATACATCCCACAACAAAAAAGACACTAAGTACAGATCTGAGAGTACTCGCAGTTACTGACAGCTAGTTCAAAGCCAATAACTAATAAAAAATCATGTACATGTATCTAAGACTAAAATATCAATCAGTACACATCCAAGATCCAATGGATTTAGTGTAAAGAAGTCAATAACAGTCAGAGAAAAAAACATGACCTTGTGCAAATATATCTATATATTTATAGTTATAATAAAATTGAGAATGAAAATGGGGAATGTGTCAAAGAGGCAACAACCCGACCAAAGAGCAGATAACAGCCGAAGGCCACCAATGGGTCTTCAACACAGCGAGAAAATCCCGCACCCGGAGGCGGACTTCAGCTTGCCCCTAAACAAAAATATGTACTAGTTCAATGAAAATGGACGTCACACTAGACTCCAAAACATATAAATGAACTAACATTTAAAAAAACATACAAGACTAACAAAGGCCAGAGGCTCCTGACTTGGGGACAGGCGCAAAAATACGGCGGGATTAAACATGTTTTGTGAGATCACAACCCTCCCCCTATACCTCTAGCCAATGTAGAATAAACAAACACACAGCAATACGCACATTAAAACTCAGTTTAAAAGAAGTCCGAGTCCGATGTCAGAATAGGTAATAAAAGAAACTAAGCAAAATGACAATGATACATAAATTAACAAAGGACTACTAGCAGTTACTGACATGCCAGCTCCAGACCTTAATTAAATTGATTGAAAGATTATGTCTTCATCATATGAAAATCAAGCACAATCCCTCGTTAGGGGTTTAGTATCAAACCATCATAAACTATATGAGAAGAACATAACCTGTATCATGCCAACAATGGTTTTAGAATAAATGTGTTTATTTCCGATGCAAATACCCTATGAGTGAATCAATATTAATACCAAAATATGCATGTACATGTATATATTAACTTTATTTGCTTCTGATCGAAGAGTGAACAATTCCATACAATATCAAATAATTACATATTCAAAATATTAGAGTGATTGAATGAATTGAGTGTTGCATTGAAAGTAGAATGAATCAGTCGAATTTCGCATGCAAATAAATGATAATATTTCTGAAGGTTCTAAGTTAACTGTTATAGAAAACGCTACACAGTTGGTAGACATGTCTTATGCAAGTTTTTGAGAAATAAATACTGTTAACAACTGTTTCGGTTTCTTTTTGCAACCCCGGCTTTCAAATATTCGGCTTTGAGTGTTCCTGATGGAGGTAAATCCAAAAAAGCGCTTCGGACGCATGACATTTATAATGTGTTGTTTTCATTTTTTATCATTACTTGGATCATATTCCGTATCAAAAGACAGGATAGTTACTGTGAAAGTGGTTAACATTATAGTACACCAATCCACATTTATCGCATAAGGAAGTCAACTCTTCTGTACGGATGACGGAAACACGACATATTTACTCCTTCTCTGAAATTGGGATTAGATTTAGCAATAACCCTATTTCTGTGTGCTACAATATGTTATTGAATTGTATGAAACATCATACTACTGGATAATCTCATAAAATCGTGCACAAACTCATGTTGCTTTTTTGCACATTTGATTCCAAATTCTTCGAAAATGTTTTTGTAGCAACTAATACTAATTGTCCATTCTACCTTATCTTAAAAAAATAGTAACTTACATAAGTCTTGTCAATGTAGTACTTAGTAAGCTTGTGTACTTGTCAGATTGTGTTCGTGCAAGAAATGTATTTGTGAGAACGTTCTAATATTGTAATTCTGTTTTTGATGTCCGTACAAAAGTTACCAAGCAATCAATGCTTTTGGATAACACATCTAAAATGCTATCTTGGAGCACTTTAATGGATCCAGGAAAGATGGGTGTATTCCGGATTTCATTACCAATAATGAAGTCGCATGCAAAATTCGACATGCATTTAAGGTAATATTCATACTCTTAAATTCAGTATCTAATATAATTCCAACAGGTTTGGTTGAGGTTACTATTAGAAAATCCACACCGTAAAGTTTCGATGCAGATTGATGATAGCTGATTTTGAAAAACAGAATGTCAGTATTTCGATAATCTAAATCCCCAATTTTCAATATATGTTTAAAATGTTTTATATGTCTATTAGAATCTTCATACAATTTGTAGTATTGATATTAGGGATATATCGTTCGCTTGCACGCCATACTTACACGAAGATAAAAGAACACTTCCGCAAGGACTTCCATCAAATTGCCGAAGTAGATCAATAATGCAAACTAATATGAAAATAAGAAGATGTGGTATAATTGCCCATAAGACAACTCTTCACCATAGACCAAATGCCATAGAAGTCAACAACTATAGGTAATCGTACGGCCTTCAACAATGAGCAAAACCTATACCGCATAGTCCGCTATAAAAGGCCCAGATATGACAAATGTAAAACAATTCAAACGAGAAAACAAACGGCCTGATATATGTACAAAATAATGAACGAAAACATGTATGATATACATCAACAAACGACAACCACTGAATTACAGGCTCCTGACTTGGGACAGGCATATACAGAATGTGACGGGGTTAAACTAGTTTGAAGCCTCTTTTGAGTTTAAACTGTTTTGAACATTTTCCTGGAAACTCCACAACGTTATGAATATGTACCTCTTTCTGGAATATTCTTTCTGGAATGGCCCGAATAAGTGGTTATAAATCTGTTGTAGCAAATGTGTGTCACAACATTCACACCTACTGAGTCATCGAATCAAGTCTGCAAGAAAATTGTAGAAAACAATAGTATATTTCTTTTTTTAATACCAATGATAAATTTTCAAAGAGTAAGAGATGCATCAGAACCGTTGATTTAATTTTTGCTTGAAGTATTGCTATTTTGAACATTGAACACTGCACTTGTATCATGGTCAAGACATTGCCGCCTTTAGAACTATTCACATTAGTTATTTAAAAAAAAAACTAATAATCGAACATTTATCATTGGAAATATTTCGAACGTAACTTTATACTACAAAATAATAACATGACTAAAAAATAAATACAAATATTTCAAGAAATTGCTCTTTGTATGAACAAACTGAAGACGCAACCTACATTGTTGACATGTAATTGTCGTTTGCTTTGATATTTTGTGTCATTAGATGACTGTATCATCAACATATCTCCCTTTATTCAATAGGCTTTTTAAAATCAACTAGAACATACCCGCGGGTCCGTAACTGAATTAAAGTACCTATGCCTTATTTCTAGCTTGGATTTTTAGTATTCTTATTGTCATTTGATAAAGTTATGCTAATTATAAGGTCCACAGTTTTCTCTGCTTTCAAAATCTTTCTGTTTGAATTCGTCCTGGTTTTCTTACTACAAATGGAAACTACTTGTAGATATATTTTTTTGGTCAATGATTGAATTTAGTAGTGTAAATCACTGTATAATGACGAAGTTCAGGTGTGTATATAGCAAATCCCAAATACACCGTTTGGTGGTGCGCCTGACAGAGGCGGAACGTACAGATTAGGTTACTATTGGTTTCGGTATCGGATTCGACCCGAAACTTATTAATTATGTGGAAAACAAAAGGGCCTGGAATGGTGTAATTTTTAATCAACACCATTGTCCTATATAAGTTATATATAAAGTTGATTTTTTTGATTCGTCGTCTTTACGTCATGCCGGCTAACAAATTGGACCTCGTTTAGTTGTATAGATTATCAGTAGGTTAAGTTCTTTTTGTTTGCTTTCGGTAACTGCAAGCATTAATACGCCATTTGTCATTTTTGTATTACCTGTATTTATCTGTTGTTTCAATATACATAAATGGGGACTTAGGGTATACGATAATGAGACAGCATCGAATGGTATTGAAGGTTTGCATGCTTGATTTCTATGCACGAACTGCTATGTTGCCATTATTATCCTCTTATTTCAAATTACTTATTTAACAATGACAAACGTGAT